CTCAAAGTTTGATTGTACAATCGTTTGGATCGATGATCGGCAAAAATTACGTAGACTTTTGTCCAGTGAGTGTACTTGACCAATACCATCGATGTCTCACATTTTGAGTTGACATCGGGTTTCAGACTATCACTGGGTATTGATAATAGGCCATCTGCATCATTTTAGCATGTCAATAAATTACGAAATCACATTCGGTGATCAGTTTTATCAATGAAATGATAATTAAATCATAATAATTGAAAGTAATTGCAACCATTATACATTGCTTTTCTATTATCAATACTTATATATAATATAATAATAATAATAATAAATACAATTGAGAGTAAGTAAAGTATACGTTCGGCGAGAGACGCTCGTTTGCTGATGCATGTAACCGAGAAAAAAGAACAGTCGTCGAAGCGGGTAAGTAAAAGCAGTACCCTGAACGAGCGCAACAGAAAAAAAACGTCTCTTATTTGCGAGATGGAATACTTGGAAATTATAGCGTGCAGTTCAGCAGCGCTCAACGCATTATTGTGTCTTTAAAGAGAATCTCAATCGCGACTTCATCCTTTGCAGCCGAATAATGACGATTAGGAGTATTTAGTGCTGGTACCAGGCCAGAGAAGGCGATTTGCGTGATATCATGGTGCTGCTGTTGGGAAGTGAGGATGAATTAAAGCCTTTGCATAACTGGGGTTGTTTCTCTCGTGATTAGAATTGGACTTTTGATACACAAAACGCCACTTACTTATAAAAACACAACAGGAGCCTTTTAAAGCACAATTGCTTCGGACAGCAGAAGTAGATCAGTATAAAGCAAACGAGTCATAACTGAGAAAAGGGTCGGGGATGACCATAAATAAGTTTGCCAAACTGTGCAAGGTTGGATATAAAGAGGTTACAAAGGAGAAGCGAGAGAATAATGATATATTAGCTCTTCCATAACCCCTACAAAGTCCTAAGTGAGAAAACGCGAAATTTTGCCTGAAAACTTAAACAGCATTGACAGAAAAGTGGTGTAACATTGAAGGAGCCTCGTCATGTAGGATGTGATAAATGCTAGAGGAAACTCCACATAGTCTTAATTAGTTTATCGGATAGAGCAGATTTTAACAAATAAAACGATGTAAATGCTCTGGCCCGTAGCGCAATATAGCCCGTTTCGCAATAGGCATATTGTCGAATATCAGTAAGTGACATCTAATCAACATTGTTATGCGATAATAGCGAAATAAAACGTGCTTGTTTTCGAACTGGGATAAATAAACAACTTCAGTCATTATTGCATACAAAGTGATCGAATTTTTTCTACCGTATACTTTCGGTAAATGGATAATTTAAATTTTAATAATTTCAGACTTTTTTAAAATACCTGAATGGGGACAAACAACGTAGATTGTTTTTTTTTATGAAGAACTCATAGAAATCAACAGCAGTAACATAATGGCTTCTTGGCCTCTTGGTCAACACGTCAGTTCTCATACTGTCGTCGCACACCCCAGCGATCAACGGTCGGATTTTCTTAGAGTAAACTTGCCTGCTCGTCTCGCGTATAAGGTTGTCCATGCCGTCGAATATAATCAGTATGACGAAATGCATTCGTCTCTGCTGGAACGTTTGCATTATTAAGTGTGCATGCTCGTCCAATTCTCTTTGATATGAGCTAACAATAACAATCTCCACGGTGAAAAGTTACTAGCTGTTCATGTAGACACACATGCAACAAGCGAACAACTTTGGGATTGTAATATTATGCTTCATTGTCTACGTTGACATATGACCAGCAGTTATGCGAAACCGCTGTATCGATTACCAAAGAGATTCAAGGAAACTCGTGTTAGTTAGAGAACAAGGAAAAGACTGTATGATAAACTTTACAAAGGAAACCATGTTGAAATGTAATAAAAAGAAAGATTTTACATGTAATTTTGCAAAATTGAAAGTTCATGAGGTTGCAATAATTGTACAATGGTGATTACAAAAACATGTTCAAGTTCTCATTCTCGACTCTCATTCACTTCCAAAATCCGCATTTCCAGCCTCTCCAGTACAATCCTACTTATTGCTCTCACCAACTTATACGTCTCCCACATAGACTTGATAACCCCAACTATTATAAATATTAGGAATACAACAGCGGCCACATTACCATCTCCACGACTTCCCCCGCCGCCGCCAAACCCACCGCCTATACTACCACCCCGCATACCAAACGATGGGAACGGACCGATCCATAAAAATGAGAGCATAAGTTGAAATAAACCGACTATTCCGACAAAAGAAAGTCCCAGCCGAAAATTCCGACCGTCAATTCTGAATATTGATGCTAATGTCATTTCTTCCTCGCCAAAAATCTCTGATCCGATCTCTGAATCCATCATATACAGGCAGAATTTGGTACATATTCCACCCAAGATAACACAAATGCCAAAAAGAATAATCGTCACAAGGAACAATACAGCTATGAGGCGTACACGATTAACAAAATGTGCGCGGTTTCTAAGCGATTAGGCATAAAACACTTCACTGTATACACTACTAACCTCGATTCGTTGCCAGTTTTGCAATTGTAGTTCGTCGAAATGCGTATTTGTATTTACATTCGTCACATTGAAAAAAACTGCTCTTCTTCTGGCTCCGTACTCGCCAAGCGTTTAAACATTCTATGTGAACATACTGTTATCAAACCAGCAAGGCGAACAAGCAGACATCTATGTAAGCATCTCCTCACACTTCCAAAGGACGGACTTTCTCTTACGTACACGAATGGTTCCCTTACACAAGCAAGGCGATATCAACTTTCCAAGCTCTACTTCTTCAGGACCAGAGAAACATATTCGACACATTTTGTCTCCTGAATTGTCCTCGGCAGTACCAGCTGTCGACTCTACTTCCTCCGCCTCGGCGGCACCATTTATTGACGTACATGCTGAGTCCTTTAAAGTATCTTTCTCTATAAAACGAGAGTCTATCGAACTTGAGAATCCCGTGTTTGCTTTAGAGTTAGAAGGGCTGCCTATTACTATAGGCTTTTGAAATGAAAGTGGTTCCGCGGGTTCTTGCATCTCCAAAACGTTATATGAGAATTAAAAAGGTGAACATTATGCCATAACGTCACAGCGAATTATAGAAAACTTGTTTATTTCAATGGCACGTGGCGACCCGCATTAGGTATGAAAGATTTTAACGTTAACGACCAAAACGGGGGACAATCCATTTATCCTTTACGTCGTTATTGTCTTTATTCAAGTCGATTTTGTTTTTGGCTTCATTCTTATCACGTTTGATTGAATGCCGTTTTTAAGGAATTGGGAAAGTTTTCTATTTGGAGCCTGTTTTCTTAAACTAGCTCTGGGGAATTGCTTTCCTTGTTTACCTGACGTATATTGATTGCTCGGTCGTGCTTTCTTGTGAGACCCTGAGCAATTAGAATGTATATATATTAAAACTACATACATTAAGGACGAAAACATTTCGTTACAATCGTTTCCATAACACATCCACCGCGAATCAATGTTTATATTGACATTGGGGTAATAATGTTACACCTTATAACAGCGTTGAAATACACTCTTCGCTTCAAAACTGCGGCAGTTTTTGATGAGGTCTACTTGGCATTCCAATCACATTCCAAGTATTCAATCAAAATTCTCACCGCTTGTAATATTATATAACATAAATGCAATTGATAGAACCAAACTTTTCTGAGATTTAAATATTAGAAGATTTATTATTTGCGCTTCTTTCTTATAAATATTGACAATTGCTTTTATATACAACTTTGGATGTCTTGTTTGTATGCATGTATTATATTTTCATCGCCTTTCAGCTTGAATAGCTTCTCCTTCGCATTTCACGATCTTTTTTCCATCGTCGTATTATAGGCATCAGTGTATTTCGTCGCTTACATACACTTCACCAATCGGTGGTCAGAAATTTCCTGGAAAAAAAACTTTTAGTGTTGTCAATCAAAACTGGAATCCCCCAGATTGACTTTTGTGTTAATTAAATACTAACTGTGATTTGAATATCGTATGACACGTGAAACAGACAAGAAATGCGGATAATGATAAGCTAGAATGGGACGTTAATGCTTATATACAAGATTATTTACTTACTTCCCTTCACGGAAATTATATGAATATCTTGAGCTCCACGACTCAATGCTGGATTCACAGAGACTTTTCTTTAGGATATTTATATCCTGCTGAGCATAATCGCCCGTCAGTATCCTTGTCACAGCTATATAAGCTTCGTTGGATTTAAGACAAAGAGGGTTGTTGACTTGTATTGGGACTTGATCAGCAGTAAGCGTTTTAAGGTAAAGACGAGATTCTGTAACCGGACGGATATCCGAGAAGAGGGAAAGAGTAAGCAGATACACGAAAAATCAAACGAACAAACAAAATAAGCGGAATGACACGTTATATGCTCCGTAAGATGACATAATTTATTAGCAGTCTCGTACATAGCTTAAAAATACGACAGGTCCCATACACTGCATCCGCACCATAACCCGATTATCCACTTACATATATACAAATACTCACCAACATTATCCACAAACACAATCAAAGTTTTCTCTTTGCCTGCCAGCCTTCTAATCTTCGTATCTGGACTTAGCCTTCCCGCTCTCGTACTCAACAGCAGTACCTGCCCCAAACTCTCCTTGTCGATAGCTGGTGCAAGTTCGCTTTTCACAACCTTTTTTGTATCAGCTACGTCTGCATCATAAGGCATTAGCACCTTCACCGCATCCGTATGCCGCGGGTGTTTGACCCAGAAAACTAGTTTTTTTCTCATCTTGAGTAGAGAATAATACATAGTAGGCCGTGAAAGCGACAGCAAGAACGAAGAGGAGCGAAGAAAAAGGTGAAAGTAGTTTAGACGGACGGACGGTACTTGTAGGCGGAGAAAGAGTAGAGCTTATTACTGCCATTCTGGAACCGGCGAGGTTGGAGCAAAGTGAATGCAGAGTATTTAAGCGTGTCAACAAAGCTGCGGTTGGAATATGATTATCTTGTGTTATGTTGGTGTAACAATTGATCAAGAATGTGTAATTAATTTGGATAACATCATTAATGACGGTTGCCATATCAATAAGTGGGTAAACATGAGGTTTGGTCAGAATTAGGTGGAAGTTTATTGGCAGATAAGGCAGAAGTAAAAAATTCGTTTCGACGTCGAATGGTGAGAATTAGGTGGAAGTTTATTGGCAGATAAGGCAGAAAGTAAAAATTTCGTTTCAATGTCAAATGGTGAGAATTGGCAAGGCGCCCTTGACCATCAGGAGATCTAACTTTCGAAGAATGTGAGGTTGGAGATACAGAAGGCCATTCTAACTTGATCCTACTTCATCTGAAAGTTCTTGTAAGTGTTTTGCTGGTCTGTTTTTAGGTTGTCTTCCTCTCTTGATCTCTCCACACATCAGCTGCGGTGGCTCCGTTAGATGAAACTTGGGTTATTTACCGATTTATATTTGATTCTTACTTCCATTGTTGAATCTTTTCCTCTATTACGGCGATCACGCGACAGCATGGATGGAACAACATTTCTATAGACAGAATAAGCAGTAGTAGATCAGAATTTGAGTAACAAGAGGGGAAAAAAACAGCGCAAAAACTATCTGTTTGCCATTACGGGTAGTTTCCAGAGCGCAGACGTATTATTATAAGCATCAAATACTTGTAGGTATGTTTGCGTAAAAGCTATTCGGACCCCCACTGGAGCCTGTGATTGTAAAAAGGAAATAGATGTCAATCACGTAGAAAGGACAATAATAACGTTGACAATAATAATAATAATAATAATAATAATAATAATAATAATAAACAGTTGATGACGAGCGAGCATCTCTATGTAATAGCCTGATGCACAACAACTGACATTTACCCATTAATTCGGTAAGGATTTGATAGGGAGTAGCACCACGGACCATGGCATACCCACGACTTCCATAAGCGGTTATTACATAGCGGTAGTACTTAATATTACTTAATGTGGCCGAAATTTCTGAAAACTTAGATATATAAGAGCAGCGTAGGCAACGGCAAAAGATCATCGTTCAATTCATTGATCATATCTTCAGCTGGAAAGCCCCAATTTGATCTTATAATCCTTGCAATAGAATAGTTCTTTATATTCTAATAAACCGTGTTGAAACAAATATATTTTATTCTTTCGTGTTAAATAATTCTCGTATAAGATCTGACGCCGCGTAGTCTCGTAACTACCGAGATACAAAA